ATTCAATATGTCAACCGGATCGGTCAGAATATTGTTATTATCATCCCTAATTCCAGACGTTACGGGCCCTACATATTTACATGATCTGTTTATACCTTTGTACATGTCTCTTACGTTATTTCCGATTCTATTAGTTTCTATTTCAATTATTTTATTTTTAAGATACTCCCTTTTTTTATTTTTGAGTAATTTTGTCGTTTCGTTGCATTTACATATACAAAAAATTTATTTCACATAATTACCTAATCTAACGATCCATGTCATACAATTTCAATACACATAGATTTGTGTTATTTTTTTAAAACCTTTAATGTACATAACTTTACTCGTTATATACGATTGATTATTACCTTATTGAGTCCTCCATTAAATATGTATTATTGAGTATCGTATTAATTTTTCAGAAAAAATTAAGTTGTTCTGATATTTTAGTGTTACCTATACGTCATTTGTGGAGGGACTGACTTATATAGGTGGGGATAGTCAAAGAGAGAGGGGTTTTTCTTCTATTGTTTTGGAATGGTGAATTATTTTATCTAATTTATGATTTTTATTTTGTTTTTTAATTTAATTATTATATTATATGCGAATATTGTTAATTATATTTGCGTAAAAGGTATCTATATTGTCCACATCTGTATGGTTGTTAACGGAAGTCTTCAAATTTTTAGTGATATATATTGACTCTATAATTTTTCTTTAGTTTTTACTATTTTTTTATATATAATTTTAGCATTTTTTAAATGAAAATGGTGTTTATTGTATGTTGCCTGTTGTGAATATATTACTTAATATGTATTCCTTATCATCCCCAATTATTTCAGACACCTCAGTTGTATGAGTAATTTTTCTCTCATCTCAAGCGCTTAGTAATAGGGATTTAATGTATAATAATAATTTGAATGAATTAAAAGTTAAATATTAAGTGAAGTTTGGTTTTCTTTGTATCCAATGCAACATTGCATACAACCACCACCAAACCTCAGAAGTTGTTCTTTGCAAATAAATTCTAAGTTACATTTTCCCTTGAAATTTTTCTGTTCTTAATTATTAAATTATTAAATAAATTAAAAACTTGTTTGCAATGGTATAATATAAAAGTAGGGGCAGATGTTTATCTCTTTAATGGGATGTGTGTGTTTCTAAACCTACTATGTTAATTTTTATGTACAATATTGTTATTCTCAAGGGACTTTGTCCCAGAATAAAGTTGATTCTTCTATTCTATTCTACTATCATATTTTGACGAACAAATTTGGACTATCGTACTGAAATAGAAGTTGTCTTTTTAAATTTAATTTTGTTTTATAACCCATTATCATGAATTTTTGAAGATAATAAAATTTGAATTACATCAATCTAAGGATTTATGCTAAAATGTATTAATGTTGGAGTCCTGAATATTTTATAAAATCCATTAAAATACTACTTGTCCAAATTGACATTTTCCGAAGCGTTTATCGTTTGTTTCATACAACCACGATTTTTCCAATCATCGCAAATTGTATTACATTTAATCAGTAAAATGCACTGGACTAATCAAATCAAAAAGAAAAAAAAACTTCTCAAGTAGATTAAAGTAATAGCCAATAATCTAGTCCTAGCAATAGTACTCACGTTACAACATGGTTATTCTGTAGTGGGAACATCAGTCAGGAGTTGGCAGTGATGGAACTAAAAGGCTCCACAGAAATCGATCAGGAACTGACAGAGGATTTCCATAGATATCGATTAATGGCCTATTTTTTGGGGTTGTTTCCCCTCCGGGTCCGCGACGGCCGCCTCGTGCTCTCTTTCTTTGGTTCATTATGCTGCATTTATATGCTATCTATCCTTTTGTTCTGTCTTCTGGCTCACCTCCTCAGTCCTGAAAGCGAATATTACACAAGTGACTCTTCCAATAAGGAACTCACATACATCATCGACTACGGAACGTTAAATCTGACTATTATAGTCCATCTCGTTACGATAGTCTGGCGGAAGGAGAAGCTCTCCTACGTCTTAAGTATAATATCCAAAGTGAAGAGACATCTTGAATTGAAGGGCATACGATGGGAGCCGAAGCGGAGGATCAAGTGGTCAGTTATCCAGAGCCTGACCTTTATCGCAATAATGATCATAGATCCCTTCACTTACGATCTCTCCATTAACGGCTTCGCCAATACCCTAGGCTACTATTTCCAAGTGGAGGCTCTCATCTGGGACTTTACCGTCTTCATGTGGTTCACAGACGCCTTGGCCGAAGGATTCAGCGGCCTGGCTAGCTGCGTACCCATGTCTACCACAGCAGGAGATGTAGAGCTGCTCCTCAAGATCCATTACTTGCTGACGAGGGCCTCAAGGAAGCTCAACAAGGCCTACACGATAGGGCTCACGTTCACTTTCATCGCTTCGTTTATTCTTATACTGTCTTCTTCGTATGAGATGATAGCTAACATTGTGACTACCATGTTTATACCCTCAGTACTGAGTCTGTTCTTTTGGGCGGTCGTACTACTAATTTTGTTTTTCAGGATTATTGACTCTTGTTCTAATGCTAATGAGGAGGTATGTTTACGTTTTAAGAGCTATAAATGAGTGTATGCAATAGTAATTTAAACCTCATATTTAAGCTTTTCCACTATTATTTCCCTAGATGTCCTATATAATTTAAATATTTTCGTAGACTGTTTGTTTAATACTGAACTATTAATGCTAATGTAAATAAATATATAAAATTAGGCTTGCGTCCTGCAAATCCACGTCCATTGGTTCTACTATTATGTGATCTCGTCAACATATAGAGCAGCTGCTAGGTTTATTCTTTTACGATTGACTGTAAATAACCATAACCACAACCTTAATGATAGTGTAAATTGTATTACATCTTCAGTTCTCGGCATTTGGACAAGTATTAGATAAGTTCCAACACGGGTCTTAACTATCAGCAAACCTGTCAGTTGCGGATTATCTATTCCAATGCTTTATTAAAATCATATAAAACTAACAGATATAAATTATCCAAAAAAATAATTGCTATTACTGCCAAAATGTGTTGGTATATATTTTTGTATCTATTACTTTATTAAAGATATGGTATCTTCCGTGATTCAGGTGGTACCTGGCAAAGTATTCAGTCTACATGAAATGAAAGCCGTTTCTTTGACAATGTTGTTATGATTATTTGTGGTGGGTATTTATCGGATTAAGCTCAGGAGTGATAGAAATGTACTTCCAGTTTCTTTTTGTGTTACATAAGTAGAGAAGCCCATAAATTTTCTTATAAACAAGACTAATCGTCTCAAAAGATCATATTTATATGCCTACAGGCTCATCTCAGATATTTGTACATTTGTGTTGTAGTGGGAGTTACTGTAATTATTTACCGGCTTTGTCTTCAGAAGTGTTGTGATTACTTTTTTTTCAAATTTCACGATTGTTCTATCACGATTGAAATATTGTAAACATTTCGGATATAGGTTACGCATTTGTGAAGCATTGACGCAAACGGTGCGTCCTGATTTCCATTCCTAGCTTAGTCAAAAACATTTGAAAAATAGCCAATGGTATATTCTGGCAGGTTGACCTCCAACGGTCGTAATAAATTATATATAGGAAATCTTTCAAGTTGGACGCATTCCAGGGTCATGGGTTGGTGACCTAAAAGATAGACCTTAGGCGTCAAAGCAATGCGATAATTAATAATAAATTAATTAGTTATAATTGCGACAAGAGATAAATCTTCTCATATATAACTCTGAGTGTTTGTTCATAGTATTGTGTATAAAATTTCACTCATATAGCATGCGTATGTTTAAATATATTTAACTATTTATATAATATAGGTGATAAATGATAACTTGAACACCTTCAGTACTGGAAACATGTCCTAATGGCGACCCCACATGCTTGGGTTGAAACGTCGGCAACATCAATAACAATCTTAAAATTCGAATGCTTATAAATTAGGATACTTATGCTTTCCAAAATATAGAGTTTATATGACCGATTATTAATAATACTTAATTTTATAAAGCATTTGCTGCCATTATATTCGGTCATCAGTATCATTTACAATCTCTTTTATATCCTTGAATTTTATGACTCAGTTATGAGTTATATTTCATGATATTAATAAACTTTATATTGAGCAGCAATTTCGTTTATAATTAGAATTACCGATATAATTATAAACGTAGTTCTTAACATTTTATTAAAATATAGACTTATTTCAAATCTATATTTCCACAAATGCATTTAGTAAACTTCAAATACAAATACAAATAAACAGATTTATAAAGCCAAAGAGAATTAATTAATAAGGAATTTTAGAATGCAGTCAAATCCTAATTATTTTTACTTACTTCAAATTATAAAATTTATACTAATATCCGTTAAATTAGAGATTGATATAAATAAGATTTATATTTATAATATTTAATGTTATCTTTTAGTATAATAATTCTTCTTATTTTTATCTTAACACATTTAAAAATAATAACCAATAAGATGGATTTTATTCTACATCTATAGGTCATATTATTTTTTTAAAAAGAAAATTCATAAAAAAGAAGTAATTATCTATTCCTACTTGAGTCAGAAAAGTCACATTGTCCACTCAAATAATTTGTTTAAAAATAATTTTTTTTTTTTTTTAAATTTCTTTATTGAGTATTATAACAATCTGTCTGTTGGACATTGGTTATAGTGAGGTAGGATGACATTCACACCATATGTACAAAAAAATAAAATAAATAGAACAAAATAATAATCAAAAGTATATACAATAGACAATAAAATAAAATAACCTAAAAAATAAGAAAATAAATAAGAAAATAAAAAATAAAAATAAAATAAATAAATAAGAAGTTTAAAAAAAAAATAAAATTACCAAGTAAAAAGGAATGGAAGGTGATTGGTTATAAATGTTTTATATTCGACATGTATTCACGGACCTAAATTTTAAATATTTCTTTAATCCTTATTTGAAATGTATTTAAATCATTTGAATTATTTTTTAGGCTAAAAAATTCGATGCAGCTCTTTATCGACTTCTGGTTTACAAGAGTCCTCCAAAATTGACTCAGAGTGTAAGTTGTAATTTAATATTATTATGTATAAGTCTAGACGTTGCTTACAACAATCTAATTTTGATCGAGGCTTCATGTATGCGCAGTTGGTTGTAAAGATTTTATTTGTATCTTATTTATTTTATATTCCAGTTATGCATAGATATTTAAAAAAAAAATTATTAAATAAGCTTAAACAATAAATTGGGGGAGGGGGTGTTTCCTGTCCGCCTAACGGCGGATCAACCCCCATTTTACAAATTATACAACTGTTCATTTAATATTCAACTACTCGTTGCTCAAATTGTATAAATATTCTATCATTTATATGTATTCTGTAGTTCAGATTGTATTATTTTTTTATCAATATAAAATAAACTGAACACAGTTAGAACAGATTTTTAATTCCTTTATAAATCTATATTAAACATCGCGCCTTATCGCCAATTTATATTATTATATGAAGAGAAGAATAGTTCGGGTGATCAATCAAATAAGAAAGCAAAAATAAATGATAATATTTATTTTGACATTTGCCGACGATTCGACTTGAAGTTCAGGCATTCACCTGGGCTAAGAAAAGAACCAGATAACAAGGTATGAGAAACATAAGTAGTGTAGATAAAAAAAATTAAAGTAAAATGAAGTTGTTAGAATAATGACAATAGTAAGAACTAAGAGATAAATAATAATAACCGTTACAAAGTGTGGAATGATGAAGTAAACATGATATCTGTTGTTCTTTTCTTAGCCCTGGTGAAGGCCTGAACTTTAGGTCGAAATGTCGGCAAATGTCAAAATAAATATTATCATTTATTTTTGCCTTCTTATTTAACTGATCACCCCAACTATTCTTCTCTTCATTATTCATGACAGTCAACCATTTTATCCACAATTATATTATTATATAATTATAATTATTCTTATTGCGAATTCTTTACCATAATATATATTCAACTGGTCCAGGTTCATATAAGCCTTTTATATTTATATCTAATTATTTCATTGTGCGTTATATTGAGCTTCCTTTTCTATTTTATAATAATTATAATTATATCACAACATAATACAAATAATATTATATATAATATTATAATTAATATATTGTATTCAAGGAGTAATGCCTAGATCGAAAAATAACTGTTGTCACTAAGGTAAAATCTAACTACCACCTCCATCCACCTTATTTTGAGTTAGGGGAGTAGGAAGTTACATGAGCTCATAGGTAATTAAATGACATAGGTACATAGGTAATTAAATGAACAGTTGTATACTTTGTAAAATAATTTCCATAGGAGACCGTGAGGGAATCGTCACAAGTTCATATAAACAAAAATTTTCTAGCATTTTTAAAAAATACAAAATAAAATACATTTGTTTCATGAAATACTATTACTATTTAATAGTGGACTATTACTATTTAATAGTCCATGCAGTTGTATTTAAGACGTCAACTCAGAAATCGCTATTGACGAGTTTTGGCGTTGCAGCATATGATCGATACGGATCATTCTATGGAAATCGTATGATTCTTGTCCCAAATAGTTTTGTGAATATTCTACACTATATTATTCCAAAGAGAAAGAGACTTATAGGAGGTACCTTTTTGTTTTCGTTTATCCTCATTACAAGAAATAATTATTTCCATTTTTATTTTTATTTCTTTATTTTTTACATTATTTTAATTTTTTTTTTTTTCAACCACTAAAAGAACATGAAAACACCTCTCCCTCATGTTGGCCTCACTGTATGATTTTACCACTTCAACAAGTCTTGTAAACATACCATCTTTCTCAATCCCAATGAAAATATATATTCCCATAAAATATTCTAAGATTTCAATCCCGTAGGCTCTTTTTTTACAAATATGCGTGCTTAAATATATTCTTGTTATCAACTAAATTACATAAAAATATTTATCAAACTTATGAAACAATTACTAAGAAGTCCTTGTTACGTTGAATAAATGTGTTTGAATAACACGTAATACTTTGGTGTCGTAAACATCTGCCATTTTAAGAACATCTAGACAGTTGTGCAATGTTTTGTGTACCCCAGCGGGACTCGAAAATGCGCCTTGTACCACTACTGTCCGACGGTTCTCTCAACAGTTACAACAGCATCTACTCATCATTTATTGTACAATAATGAATGTTAGGATTTAGCAAAACAAGTTGAAGATTTTGTTTGAGAACTGTTTATGTTTTAGTAAAATCCCATTTCTGAGATTCCTCATAATGTGAAATTTCCTTTTTATGGCATCCATTAACCGATGTGTTCTTAACTCTTTCTGGATGGAGCTGAATGGGTGAAACATTGAATAGTTAATTACTAGTGTTTAAGAGCCTTAGGGATTTGATATATTCCCAAGAGTAATTTTTGCCTATCATTTCGAGATCCTATTTCATTTTTTTTATTATAATTCATGCGTTAATTATTGTCATTATACCAATAATTATTATTGGTCGAGGTCCTCTTGGATTATAGACATATGGTTTTCAATTAGCACTTGGAAAAATCATGATAAATTTTAAGAGGGATACAGTCCTAAGGATTGGTAGAGCTAACAAGAAAGGAATGTGGAAATGATTATGTGGATCTGGAGGAATATAAGAGTATTATTTACAACAAAATAATTATTTTAAAAACATCTATGCTTAGTATGTACATGTTTCTACCAGTTATTATTATAAGAGAAGTTAGGTTTATTGGTTATTTTATTTTAATAATGTTGTGCAGATAGTTAACAGTGATTATAATTAGATAAGGAGTCGACAATTTACAGCCAAATTGCAGGACTAGCGATGGGCAACCCCTTCGTACCTGACCTATTAAATATAGTCCTTAATGATCTTCAAAATACCACAATTCTCCAGTTTTCAAATGACATTTTTTTTTTATCATTCTCAATCCTTATAAAATTCCTGATCCACTTCCTGCCTTTGACTCCTACTATTCTCGCTTCCGTTTAATAGTTAAATATGAAAATAACAATTCCCTCCCTTTTCTTGACGTCCTGATTAAAAGAAATCCTAACAATACTTTATCCAGAGACTGGTGAATAAAACGGCAAACTCTGAATAAATATTTACTATTCAACTTATATGGGCTTTGAAAATATCAGATGTAAAAATTGACATTATTGTATATTTTACACTGTTAGATGACGACATTGAAATTGTTCTTCCACTTCTCCGGCAAACCTGAAGTAGTCTTCACGCTTTCTGGATTTCTGAAGCTTGATTGGAATCTTTTGTATTCGGTAAGTTACTGAACATAAGGCGATGTACCTTTTATACATAGTACAAATGTATCAAGAAAATTTAAAGAGCCACCATAAAGTGTATTAGCAAGACACTGGGTCTGCAAATATAGTTTATGATTTGTAGGCCCTATTTATCTGTGTATTTTTTTTTTTAATTTTTAATGTTAATTAAAGAACTTCATATTAAATATTTTTTGTAGATGATGGCTGCAGGATGTGCGTATCTCATTGTAATTATTCAACTCAATAACTTCATTTAATGTGTCACAATGATAATGAGGTCAACAAGTTGTATACATTACGTAGTTGATGCACACTAGGCTTGAATAATTCATTATGCTATTAATATATTTGTTTGAAAGTTATTAATAAACCAACTATTACCTGTGTATTTAATTATAAAATGAATTAATAAATTAATCCTTTTAAAATTATTCCTATATGCACATAGACTAAGACAAAATATCTTACGAAAAAATAATAAAGACTTTAAAAATTAAATAAATTAAAACAATTTATTGAAAATTTTTTAAAAATTATTTCTTAATGATATGGTATTAAAGAAATACATTTTGTAAATTTGAACATATGGATATATGGAAAACACTTGTTGAGTAACTACCCAATAGTAGTTCACACTCTAATGATATGTCTACATTAGGAGATCACGGAGTTATTGGAAAAATGAATATATAAAAACAAAGCGCTATAAACTGTAGAATTACATAAATAGCGTACAAAGCTTGCAATATAAGTGTGATCATATTACAATAAATGTTGTACCATATCTAAAGAATTTTTGGATCCTTTTTCGATCATTCCAATCAGTACCTTTTCCTTTTGATTTTTCAATCTTTACAATCAAAATATTATTTTATTCATCCAGGATCAAGGTTAAAATTAAACATCTCTAAAGTGAAGGATGATTTTATATTCCTTAAAGTAGTGATCCATCTCATGCTATAAGTCGAGTATATGATATAAGTCGAGATTGACCAAGAGACAGGACATAAATGTTAAGTTATATTTGGAAAAAATCCCAATATGCTTATGTATCCAAAATGCAGGAAATGAAAAAAAAAAAAAGTCAACGTTCCTTCAAAAGAGAAGAACAGCTAATCGAACATCACTCCATGACATAATGCTGTGTAGTTGGGAATTATTGCAAATATAACCTAGTATGAATATTGAATTTTACTATACTTGGCAAAGAACCCAGGCCAGTAAGAAGCATCTTCAATAATAATACTATCAAAGGTTAAATTAATTTACACCCACCATCTTTTCAATTTTATCGAAGAGATAAATATTTAAATATTTCTATTGTGTGGAATAAGTAAAAAGATAAACATAACCTTTATTAAAATACATGTTATGACCTTTTAATTTGATAACAGTAAAGTACTTCAAGAGAACTGCACCAAGATGACGACATAAGCGATTCCGGCACCAATCATCTGAAAATAAATAAGTTTAATAAAAGAATAAAAATGATAATTTTAGTTTTTTTATTAACGGTAATTAATATGGAATATTTTTTTTTTTTTAGTTTCCATTTTGGAAGCTTCATCTCTAAAGCTCAACCCCCTTTAGATCTACCATAAGGGTAATAATGTTTATAATATAGAGATAGACTGTATCTGTATCTTGTTCTTCCCTCGAAACCAATAAAGATTAATTCCGAATATCTCAATTATTTGTAAGCCATCATTATTTTCTTCACGTTAAACAGGTTTATTTTTTTTCTATTTTAGAAATTTAAAAAAAATATATAGTCGATTAAATCGTAATAAAATTATCCAAAATGTATATTGCTTGCTTTGATTTATACATCTTCTGAGGACAATAGAAAGCCTTATGATCCTTGAAGACAGAAGACATCATGGGAGGAAGGCACCTCCAAGCAGTAAAGATTTTCTGGGCTACGTGACGAGGGACACGAGCGACTGCACCACCTCTGACCTATATCCACCACAAATCTTGGTCCAGTTCCATTAGAGTTCTTTTTTTTATGGATGAAAAAATTAACTGGAAGTTAACTTTAAATGGATTCGACTGGTGGACTGATCATATCATTATGGCATACGAGCCATATCATCAGTGGTACGAGGTGAACTAGTATGAATATTTCATCAGATTCACTGAGATCACAAAAAAATTGGCAACTTGCAAGGAAAGTTGTTGGATTACGAGTTATTTCTGCTTTTGTTTTTTCGTTCTACTGTCACTCTAATGAAAAACTCCAATAAACTATCACCATTGATTGATTTTATTTTAACAAGTACGATTCCGTTCTAATATTTAGTCTTAAAATAAATTTATCGCATAATACTTTTTTTTTTTTAAATTGAAGTACGCTCCCTAGTAATCCTGCTTTATCATTTATGAAACAAAAAAGTCAATTGAAATGTTGGTATAAATTACTTGGAATAGAAATCCAGGCTAAATATAAACATTGGTTAACGATATTATGCATCTCGACAATCAAACAATATTCTTAATATTTTAGTCCATTAATTTTTTATTTATTTATTATTTTTTACTATATTTGCAACTGCGTCTTTGGTCGCAGCTAGCAAATGTGCTGTCGTTCATTTTGTCTGCTATTTCTTGAAAATGTATTCATATTGTGAGCAGATCCCGAGGCCATTGCCTTTTTAGTATTCTTTGATGCTCCCCTGGTAACAGGGAGGAAGAAATAGAGAGTACAAGTGGATTAGGGTAGTTAATGGTTGAAGTGTGGAATGTGGTGTATTTTTTATGTATGCAGGTTTTTATTGTTCGCTCATAGAAAGTTCATGTTTCTGTGTATGGTGTGATTTGAAATACAACAGGATGCATTTACGATTTTTCGAAGAATTTTGGACTGTGCAATTTTTATTTTGTTTGTGTGGACGTGTTTTGCAGAACTCCAAAGTTCTGCTCAGTAAGTCCAAATAGGTCGTAGTATGGTGGTGTAGATTAGTCGCTTATATTGTAAGTTAAGAGGAGATCTGTAGTTCAAAAGATGAGACAGTCGTTTGTATCGTCTGGTCAGTCCTTGTTTTTTTAATTTGGTGTAAATGTTACAGGTAAGTTTTTTGTCCAAGTATAGTCCGAAATATCGTAGAAGAGTTTTTGAGGGAATTGGCTTGTTGACTATTGAAACAGTAGGACACGAAATCTTTCTCAGAAAGAAACTAAAGTGACTCGACTTGCCGCCATTAATTTTGATTTACCATTTGTTGAACCATTTTTCTAGGTAGTGGAGATTATTTTGGAGGGTAACTGAAGCAATAGTAGGATTTATGTCAGATGAAATAGTTGCAGTGTCGTCAGCGAAACTATAGAGGGAGGTGCTAGGGTGCTCGGGGATATCAGTGGTACGCCCGCAAGTTGAGGGAAAAAGGAAGAGATAGAGGGAATCCACAGAAATACACATAATCTGTCGAGGAAGAAAGATTGAAGTGTAAGAAAGTATAGAAGAAGTGTGCGGTGTTATTTTCCACAATAGATCTTTGTGCCAGCCCCTATCAAACGCATACTTAAAGTCTAGGAATATCGTTGAGCAGTATTCTTTTTTCTTAAAGCCGGCTGAGATAGAGTCCACTGTATGATGGCATTGTTGTACAGTGGAGTGGTAGGAACGAAAGCCAAATTAATGGTTCGGTATGACTTCCTGGCTTTGAAGGCTTGAATGCTATGAAACAGTTTCACGAATATTTTTCCCATTATTATAGGTAGGAGTACAATATGACGATAAGATGAAGGATTACTGGTGGGCTTAGAAGGTTTTGAAATCTTTTTTGCAGTAGATAGTTTCCAAAGGAGAAGGAAATGAGAGTAAGAAAGAGAACGGCTTTTCGAAGAGAACTTATTATTACCTCTTGTTTCAGTGCTGGTTAATTATCTAGTGTTTTTTTTTTTTTATTCAGGATCCCTTACCATTTTGTATGCTATTTTTAGTCGCCGTGTTGCCAACAATGCAACTATATTCATCCATACATATAACACAATTGATTTCTGTCTGAGCTGTCCAGTTGACTAATCCTTTTTCGGTCCTGATATCCTACGAAATACTTTTCGAAAACCTTCGAGATGTTCTTTTAGAAAAATTATACCTTGTATGACATGTAACTAATAATTAAAAATTTTTTTTTAAGCTTTTATTATGATATTTACAACTGTCTTTGTATGAATACATCACGTAAATGTGTACAGAGAAATATTATCACATGAAACACGCTTGTTGAGAAACTACCCACTGGTAGCACTCTAATAATTTGTCTTCATGAGAAGATCACGAGGCCATCTTCTTTTCAGACGCCTCGGAGGGTTATCAGGAATCGAAGAGGAAGCAAGGTTAGAAACAAGAGGATTCGGATGGTTATGAAGTTTATTATGGAAGGATAGATATCTGGATTTGGCCAAATCGGAAACATATGGAACATTGAGGTCAATTTTAAATTTAAAAGATTTAATTTTAAAAGATTTTTGTAAAGCTAACACGAAGTGAGTGGTTTTAAGGTGAATGGATGATGAATTTTATATTATTTTATAAGATGTTATTCTGATATTATGATTACTAGCTTAATAAAATTTGAGTTTAGTGCCAGAAACTCATATCATAAGATTGATGTACTTCTTATCACGAGTTAGGAGATGGCTGATAGTTAATGATTCGAAAGAAAAAGCAGCACCTTACAGTGGAAATATAATTAGTGCAGAAGCACTCGCACCATCGGCGCTGCCAAAGAGAAGCCAGAATCGGGAATGTTTCCAAACGTGTTTTACGGTCGATAATCCTTGCGAAAACCCATCGTCTATTTCTGCTGCGAAAACAAGGAGTCGCCAAGAAATGCGAGCTAGGCAGCCTTTGACGTCATAGGGAACGCACCAACACCAAGCGCCTAGGTCATTACCGAGACAACGGCTGGCATTCAACTTGAAATAGTAAGGCAACCCTCCTCCTCTAGCCTATAGCTATTAATAATCATTATTGTTTTGGTCAATAGGCTATTGTCAACACCTTTAAGGTGACATCGCGATTCGGTAACAGATTAAAGCAAGTACTATGTATACATATATATAGCTTCAGTAAAACGTAGAACGTAAATATATTAGTTTGAAATTATGAGAAAAATAAATGAAGTTCAGTAGAAATTTGAAATATTCTTATTGTAAATGAGTAAAATCGTTTAAATTTAACCGAATAGAATTATGTGATGCTGTAATGATCGATATCAAGACAATACGCTCATCGATTTTAATACATTTTCAGATGTAATCAATATTGGTGTCTGTTATTAGTCGTTGTCTGTAGTCGAAGGAGGTTTTTAAGAAAATACTACTGATTTTTTAATTTAAATTTTAATATTAAATTGTGACATAGCTTATCGATCTTTAAAAAAAATAATTCGGATTTCTTGGATGTAATGATCCACTGTGTTATCAAAAACATTCTTCTTTTTTTTTAAAGAAGTAGTATCGATTTTAAAATAGTGGGTGCATATTTGTTCGAAATACTATCGATATTAAGATTGCGCGCTCACCTACTTATTTACATTAACCTATTAGATTTCTTTAATATTTTTGACTGGATTATTTGTTTATTGATAAATATTACAATCTGTCTCAATAAAGGACATTTATAATAGAGTTCTGAGAGCACATTCACACCATATTTACAAATTCAGAAAAAATAATAATAATAAATAAATAAGCTAATTTCAAATAATATAAAGCTAAAAAAGAACAAAATAAAATATCATAGTGAAGGAAGAAAATATAAATAATAGTAATAATAGAATAAAAATAAATGAATAAAATTGAATTAAAATTATCTTTAAAAAAAAGTAATGAAAATAAAGTAATGCATCTTAGATGCAGGCATACCTATTTACACTATTTACAGTCGGCCATGGGAACTCCGAACCATACTTGTCCCCCCACATGTGGAGGGAAAGCGAAGCTTCAGGAAATTCCTGCGCTTCTTCTTCAACCACTTCACTGGTATTAAAAGCTAGCGGAGATTGAGTAAGGGCGGTACAACCGCAGACACTCATGACTTGAGTGGAGAATCTGGCCATTGCCAGAGAACCAATATATACATGTTACAAAAGGTCTCGGGGCCATTGCCGTTTTAGCATGCGAGGTGGATTGTTGAGATGAGTGGTGCTAGATAGTTATTGTGCTACGGGATTAGGGTGATGGGTAAGGTTCTGATGAAATTTGTAGAATTTGTCTGGGATAAGATCAAGAATATATGGAATATTAAGGTCATTATGCAGGGTTTTATTGGTGACATAGAAGGGAGCATTCTTTAATATTAAGATTATCGGAAGTCTATTATCATCAATATAGAGAGCGTTCGTAGTGATTACAGATCAATCCAAGTTAATATTTTTTTTTACATTGTATAATCTCATTTTTCACTGATTTCGTTACAAATAGTGGTTGTTTACCTAAATATAACTGGAATATAGAAGGCCTCCAACTACAGAAAACTATTTCTAACACGAAATATGCAGTATTATACTGAGGTACATCAGTTGCCACCATGATTCTTATAAGTAATGTCCATGAAGTGTGTCATGGAATCTTGTATAACGAAATACTTCCTCGCTTACACAGCTAGAATATGAAATTCTTTGTTACTGGCGTATTTGTTTTGCATGAATTTGTTTTGCTGTAAGTTAAATTTCAATTTATGTTTGAATTGCTAATTACTTAATTAAACATAACCATACCGTCCTGGCTAATTGCCAGTCGATTTGGAAGAATCCCAGCGCATCAAAAGTCAAACCGCTACTGCCTTGGAAGTGGAAGTACAGTCTATAAGCTGGCCCCTGTAATGTAAATATAGTGAATTATCACTCAGTAATTGTTAATCATATTTTTTTTTAATTATCAACAATGATAAAAATAATAAATTAGAAGCTTTAACTGGTGTTTCGTTTCAACAGTCAACTTATGCGGTAAATAACAAAAGCTGACTAGAGAGTTCAATGAATGATATAATAAAAAAACTGGTGCACGCTACACACATCTTTCACTTACCTCTCTACTTTGAAAAGAAATTATTTTCTTGCAATGTTGGGCTATTTCAAACATTTTGAAGTGAATTTTAATCTGAGCTAAAGCTTAAAGCTTACAGCTGATAAGTCAGTAAGACTATTAAAATTACAAAAAGTCTATTTATTATATCGACGGTAGGCAATGAAAATATAGTTTCTCCATCTGATTTTAAAGACCACACAACTTGAGTCTCTGAGCTCTTCAGTTGACAGAGTGACTTACTCCAATTTGAACATTTTTAGGTAATAAGTCATAACAGGTGATTGCAGAATTGAAATTTACAACTTGAATAAAGATACAAATTATACCACTAGAAACATTCCTAAAATTAATAATGAAGAATGTTGAAAACGCAATTAGTCATTCTGTCAACCGAAAGGTTCATATATGCCTAGAGAGATTTGAAAGTACATCTGAATATTTAACCTATAAATGATTATGGATTGTAGGACTAGTAGTTAATAAACTGATATTTTCTATTGTAAAGTTTCCTAAAATGATATCACGAGATTTTCATTGCCTGCCATAGATAGGTCAAAAGTTGTCACACTAATTGTAAGTGGATAATGTTGGGATTTCAAAAAGGGAACATTCTTCAAATTATTCACTAATTTAATTTTCTAAAAGGTTGCTTGATGATTTTTTGAATAAACGGCCAATAGATACCTAATTATTTTTTTTTTCACAATCAAGGCAAAAAAACTTCCAATTTTCTTCATATCCCTTCTATTCACATTTATCACCTCTAACGTTTCGGGACAAACAATTTTAAGCTTCCTCTCAGTTTAAATTAAACTGTTATTTTATTATTATTTATTCTTATAATAAATAACAGATGCATACCTTGCTAACTTGATTTTAATATTTATAGTTAATGGAGGAATTGCTTCATTCAGCTTCTCTTGAGAATCCTAAGAGTCCTATCGCTCAAGTCGATTTTGGCCATACCTCATATGAGTGTGTTAGAATGTCCATAATGTGTGTAAATTATCGTGAAATCTTTAGTAGTGTGTCCGTACGTGATCGCTAACTGTTGGCAAGTGTTTATTTAAAGGAATGTTTGTAGCGTACCACAGAGTTAGAATCAATGTATTTTAATATACTCACATAAAATGAAAAATCGCCCTGTTTTTTAAATACGATGGATTTATATATCGCCGTATCGAATTCAATGGCCTGAAAAGAAAGAAATCTTTTAATGCATTATATTTATGATACATATTATATGCTAGGTGATCATAACACGAATACATAGTAATAAATAATTGATTACATTTTAAAATTATATGAATACATTCATTCATTAAAATAGATGAAGAAATTCATTGTTTAATATTGAAGTGACCGAGAAAGGGTGTTTTTCAATCATAGTAAAGAATTACAACTCAGAAAGATATTTTATATGGCGAACAGTAAACAGTGAAATAACTGGATCCAACAGTTTTATAATTTAATTTTTTATATGCATTATTATTATCCATTAAGGAGTGTAAAATACTTGAAAATAAAGGTTCTGTTTTTATTTACTAATTATTAATTTATCATTACAATCAATTTTGTCATATTATTTATTTATATATCATTATTTATAATGACTTCGAGACTCAATAAGTACCAGTATTAGCAAACAGCTTTTTATTTTCAGTTTTAATCCCAATGTCCTGGAATAATATTAATTACATTTTCTAAATTGACCGATGATTTTATATTATACGATGATTTTTTTTTTTTTTTTAGACAGAGTTATTTGTTTTTCATTGATTACTACTAAATGCGAAACCTGCTATACCTTATTCTTGGCTTCAACGCATGACGCTATGATCTTAAAGCAAATGCTGAACAGAATGCACGTCCAATAGACGCACACTGCAATATAGACCAAGGTCTGAGTCTGTAAGATCTTATATGTGAGGAAAGCTTCGACGGTAAAACTCAGGAGTGCTGTTCCAAAAAGAATAAGTATCCCCAGGGAGTACACCTTAGATAGCATCCTGCAGGATACGGTGAGCCGGCGATGCCACTGTACGAGCTGGTGGAGGTCTCCAGAACCTTCGAGGGCTACCGAAAGGCAGCCGAAGGCGGAGGCGATGTGGCCCGCTGTCCAGGATATCTGTGAGTTGATGAGGACCATCAAGGAGATGATGTAGTAATGGCTGAAGCTGTAGAATAAACTGCTGTAGGTGTGAGTAGCCAAAAAATAACAATCCAGTCCGAATGCCAACCAGGTAGCAAGCAGAGTAGTCTTGCTCCAAATGTATCGAAGCGGTTTCAATTCCACTCCTGAGGAAATGACACAAAAATGGATGAGTGAAACCGCTATTAATATTATCTCTTGTATAACCTAAGAACAAAGATATGTTAAATATTTCTTTATATTTTTAATAATATTCTTTATATGTTTGATGCATATAATAAGCAAGCGGAATGGCCGAGTGAACTTCATTATCCAATATTTAAATGAGAAGACAATAAGGTCACGATAAGTTATTGCTGTGATCTTTAGGGCTTCATTTTTTTTTTTTTTTTTTTTTTTTTCTTCGGATTCTGAAGTTCAGTATTTTAAGACATCCTTTTCACTTTCTGTTTACTATTTAAGGACGTACTGTTTCATGGTCGACGGTTGTGTAAGAAGGTGATTTCACTGAGGTCCTCCTGTTTTTCTCCTTTATTAATTAATTAAAAGAACCCTCTTTATAGAGGCTGGGTGTGCCTCAGCAGGGTCTCCCAACCTCAAGTCACTTCACGGCAACTAAAACAGAATAAATAATTACCTGCCATCGACCAGATTTGTACTCGGGACCTTGAGCTCTGGAAGTCAGCGCCCTACCCAATGAGCTATCCCGCTCCCTTTATAACCTATCTTTTTTTAATTTTTCTTAATCATATTTTATTGAAACAAAATACATTTTGCCTCAATCAAGGGCATTGATTATTTGAGATGTGAGAAACTCATTCATACAATAGATACAATTATAGAAATTATAACAAAAATGAGAAAAAGAAAGCTTAGTAAAACAGATGAAATAAAATATAATACAACACAAATTAAAAAATAAATATTTAGTTGCTTGGCAATAATAACTTCCAATTATTAACAATTCGAGTATATTTTTAACGTTACATGTTAACAGTCTAGTTTACGTTTCGGGACCTTTAAACGTAAACTAGACTGTTAACATGTAACGTTAAAAATATACTCGAATTGTTAATAATTGGAAGTTATTATTGCCAAGCAACTAAATTAAATTGACAACTTCCCAGGAAAAAAAGAAAAAAAAATAATAAATAAGAAACATTCATGCTTATTTACTATATTTACAGACAGCCGAGGGAGCTCCATGTGGAACGTGTGGAAGATAAGGCAGGACTCTAAGAGATCCCAGCGCTTCTCTCTCAGCCGCATCACTGAGATGGGGATCCAGTGGAGACTGAGAGAGGGCACTAAAGCAACATACGCTCATGACTTTAATAACCTATCTAACAGCAGACAAATTAAGATTACATAATATCGAGAGGACAATCAAGGATTATATTATATTGTTGGAAAAAGAAATGTGCAGATACTTTTCTTTGTAGGAATTTCATTGATTATTATTTCTTTTTTAATTAAAACATGGTTCCAAACTACAGCCCGCGGGCCAAATTCCGCAGGTACCTCCAATCTGGTCCACGAAAGGTTTTGGAATACATGATAAAATTAAAAAAAAAATTTAGTAAATTATTCAACCACGAGGTTAACAAACAGCATTTATTTCATCCGTTTTGTCTCTCAGCTCATTCCATAACTGAAGAGACGTTTATAAAACACGCTATTTTTTTTTTCATTATAAGCTGTAGCCTGCGGGACTTGATGAAAGTCTCAATGTACCCTTCGGGTCAAAATGTTTGGACACCCCTGAATTATACCAAGAGGTTGTCTGTTTTCATACTCATAAAAATGTTTCCATGTTTTATTTATTTTAATTTTTGTACAGTTTAATGGAGTTTTTATTTCATTACCTTAATAAATCATATAAATGTAAGGAGTGAAAATACTTTTTGCCACCACTATGTGTAATTATACAATTTTTAAGAGGTAAAAGAAACATTTATTTTTATATGCACACAATTGAAATAGATACTGTCAACTATTACTAAAATTTATAAAATAATGATAAATTCAACATTACATTAAATATGAATCTAAATCAGATGACCTAATTGGAACTAAGAAGGTAAAGAAGTTATTTTCGTATGATATCCATAACTGAATCTTGGTTAGAGAAATAAGTTTTAAATTACAGAAAATTATATGTTATATTATATGTTGAAGAGAATTACGGATGTTTTGCAAAATTCAGCAATAGATTATCTTGAAAGGGCATCCACATTGTATAATGGCATTGAGCGATGTTCCATCAAGGGCCTCTTATCCACTCCAATCCAATTTAAGGAATGATTTCCTCCCATGACTGCGAAATGACGTAGTTACACTAAAAGCTACATACAGTTGTCGTACTAAAGATTGACCTGAATTGCAACAAATCCAATATCAATCCATTCCAAATTAGATCGTTTCGTAAACTGTACGGTTGATGAGATTCAGAAATAGTTCAGCAAATGAAGATAATTGTTTAAAGAGATGTTCAATAATGGGACTGGAATCTGATTAACCACAAGTTAATTGGCATAATATATATATATATATATAATGTGATTTATGTACTTGAATATTTGTGCATAAATTAATAAATTTAACTTCTTGTTATAATGAATTATAAGAAAAGAATAATAGTTTTTTTTTCACAATTATCTCTAGGATATAATATACATGTTTTATTTAAGTAAGTTATTTTTTATCTTCTGGCATGAGACCACGTGTTAAGCTAAAAACCAGATGGACAAATAGAATCAATAGACGCTTTAGATTTGCCTGCAGGAAACTGGCAAGCAATAGCCCAAGATAGGCAGAAGTGGATAAGATTTGTGCAGGAGTTCAAAAACTTACATCGTTACTAAAGTTATATAAACTTACAATCTCCATTCATTGTCCATGGGAACAATAACACCTAGTGGAATATTACTTCTACATAAAATTATTCCAAAATTGATTTTTAAAAAACAGATATTTAGTATAACAAAATACGATAAAGTTAATTTATTTAATACTGAACCAAAAAAAATAATAATAATAACTTGGGAGAAATGTACAAAACGATCGGATAAATAATTTATTTTGGACCTAAACGAAATTCATCAGACAGTTTTTTTCTTTTAATCAGAATGGGGTTTTTCAAAATTAATTTCAACGGTTGATAATTGATTCAGCATATGGCTGTGGATAAAGCCATATAAATAACGCCCAAACAACGTAAACAACAACAAAAAACATTTACCACTACAACCCATGAAGTGTCTAGGGTTCAGTACTTTGTAAAGAAGTGGTGTGTCTTGATCAACTTTTAGCCGCCAGGTTTTCCCCCTTAACCAATTATTTAATTAAGAGCACCCAGTTTAAAGAGGGTGGGTGTGCCCTATGAGGGTCTCCCGATCCCAAGGATCATATCACGGTTGACGAAACATAATAAATAAGTAATCTATCATCAGCCGGATTCGAACTTGGGACCTTAATCCTTGGCAGTCAGCGCCCAACCAATCCTCATAATTTACCCCACTCTTCCAAATCCATTCAGTTATCATTAATTTATTAATTTAGTGTATATAGGTATGCATGTGTTTTTAGCTTTTTTTTTTCCTTATTAGGTATGCATGTGTTTCCTTATTTTTAAGTTATTTTATTTTATTATTTATTGTTATTTTGCTTCTATTTATTTTATATTTTTTTATATATATAGTGTTAATGTTATTATACCTCACTATAACTAATGTCCAAGTGACAAATTGTTGTAATACTCAATAAATAAGTAATTGGAAATAGAAAAAAAAATTATTAACTATAAAATTCTTAGAAATTATTGATTGATAATGTAAATTGAAACTAATTTGGGTGATTGAATTTAATCATTTTACATGTACTAGATTAAAAGTAAAATAACATTTAAAAAACATGACACACATTGTTCTGAATTTTAAAGTAATATATAGGTAGTAATATATTTCAGTCCCTCCTGAAATGACGTAGGCTAAGCACCTATAAAAATTGACAAGTAATGTTCTCTGAACATATTAATTAGAACATTAAGGATGAACATATTAGGAGGACTCATCAAGTTTTGAAAATGACCCTTAGTATGGTCGAAACGTTAAATTGATGCGTAATAATAAAAGGTTGGTGAAAAATGGCTTAATTTATTGTAACAAATAAAAAAACTTCAAGACACTAAAAGTAGGAAAAATGAACAGAAGTAATATATAAGTACTTCATTTGATTCCTAAATGCTAAATTGATTACTTTTTAATTTATACCAAAATCATGGGCGTATGAATTCAATACTTAATTATAAGAAGAGCTGCTGATCACAACACACCTAGTCTAAACATGGCGTATTCGAATTCGATCAGAGTGTTCAGGACGTCCGAAAGAACTTGACGGTTGCGAATCACGAAACAAACAGAGGCGAGTATAGCAGCGTCGCAACCGAGTTGTTGAGCAATATTAAGCATATCAGTGAATGGAGTAACATAAACAGCAGGCGCAGAGACTAAAGTGTGGACAACGAGACTGAAGACCAAGCCTGCCGTCATCAATACAGAAGAGAAAAGGCCGACCCATGAAATAACAAAGACCCCATCTTCGAGGCGAAGAGGAAACACTCCGAATATACGAGAGAGTGCGAAGGTGAGTCCCAGGGATAGTCGAGAATGGCGGTCGGTCCAAGAGCTCTTCATGACTGGGCATAGAACATTTGACCAATTCCACTGAGAGGGTCATCCATAACTGACCAGTAGCAGCAAAGCATCAACAATATACCCATCGGTTTCTCATTAAAGTGTAGGCACCAATATTCCATCCAATCAATAAAGCAATGGGTGCGGAAGTTGAACGCAGTGCTATTCGAAATAAAAACATACTATAATACTATCCATTTTTAATGATCTATACATACACAAATAATTGGAATGACCTCAGTATTTTCCAACGTGTCTTAGGTTGTTATTTTATAAGGGACTTACTTGATAAGGCCTTGACGATCTGGCTAAAACAGGGTTGTAAAGATACCGACAGCCCATCCTTACAGTCTTTTTTGAAGAAAATGAGAGCATTAAATCAAATTAACAAAAGCATACTAACGATAAAAATCATGTTGTTTTTTTTTAACAGAACTTTTACTTCTAACATTATTGCAGGCATCGTTGGCACCATTTTAAAATGGTGATGCCTGCGATATGTGTACCTCGAATGTCTTGATTGACTATTAAAGGGCGATTCGTATTAGTGGCAGATCCAGAAATTTTCTGAGGCGGGGAGCGCATTTGCGAAACAGATAAATATCAGTGTGCATGAATATATATGGAAAGAATTGTATATTTTAGTTTTTTTTTTTTTTCATCTATAATTTTGCCATAAAATGATGTTCTGAATTCCTTTACTCGATAACTGATGTATACGAACCTAAAAACCGACATTTTTTCGTAATGTTTTTCACAAATTTATTTAAAAATGGTTTCCAAGGTATCAAAGCACTCTAACAACTACTTTCAGCTACAATCTCCAAATATTTCGCCAATAAATGGATAATGTTTAGCAAACATATTCATTTTTTTTTAATTATTCGTTGTTTTTGTGTACAAAGTACAAATAATAATTAATTATTTAGTACGATTCACTTTTCAATTAAAACAATAATAATCAAAGTGCTGTACATTTTGTTCTCACCTTTGTTGGGGGGAGGGAGGTGCGTGCCCCTCTCCTGGATTCGCTAGTGATTTCTACTAAAACAGACAATTAAAATTCAATACCAATAGGATTCATGATGTTGCAATGAGGTGTTCTTATATATTACTATTTGGCCTTGTGCCACTCGCAATGCATCAAATAACTTAATTAGGAATTAGTCTAGAATCTTGAAAATTAAATAAAGGAATTTTTGAGTCTGAAAACTTAAAATAAAATAATTTAATTTTTTTTCAATAGTCCAAAAAATACTATAAATTAAATAAATTTGTAATTTAGTTAATTAAATATATACTTCTGTAGCCAATAGTTTATTTAAATTTATTCGACCCTTAGAGAACTTTCCACTATACATTTGCTAATGAAAACTGCTCCTAAAGTACTGGCAAAAACAGATAGCTGACTCTCATAAAGTTACTTTCAAGATTTTTCTCAAGACCCACCAAGATCTACGATATCCCTCTTTGGTACAATAAACTATGAAGCTTGTTTTAAAAATGATTTTATTTACAATCTTTAATTGTCTTATATCACATTTACAGTACAAACAAATGGGCATACAATGGGCCTTCATGGCCACAGTGCATTTTTAACCACACAAAAAAAAAAAAAAACACATGAAAATAAAACTCAAGTTACCAAACCATTCCCTTCACATTTTGGCAATGAGAAAGCTTTTTGACAAAAACAATTTTAAAACTCAGATAAAATGATTGTAAACTTAAGAAAAATAGTCTTTTAGCTCTGGCAAAAACAGATAGCTGACTCTCATAAAGTTACTTTCAAGATTTTTCTCAAGACCTACCAAGATCTACGATAAACCTCTTTGGTACAATAAACTATGAAGCTTGTTTTCAAAATGATTTTATTTACAATCTTTAATTGTCTTATATCACATTTATCGTACAAACAAACGGCCATACAATAGGCCTCCATGGCCACAGTGCCTTTTTTGCCACACACAAAAAAAACATAAATACATGAAAATAAAACCCAAGTTATCAAACCATTCTCTACAATAGACTATGAACCTTGTTTAAAAAATGATTTTATTTACAATCTTTAATTGTCTCATATCACATTTACAGTACATACAAATGGGCATACAATAGGCCTTCATGGCCACAGTGCATATTTTGCCACAAAAAAAAACAACATAAATACATGAAAATAAAACCCAAGTTATCAAACCATTCTCTACAATAGACTATGAACCTTGTTTAAAAAATGATTTTATTTACAATCTTTAATTGTCTCATATCACATTTACAGTACATACAAATGGGCATACAATAGGCCTTCATGGCCACAGTGCATATTTTGCCACAAAAAAAAACAACATAAATACATAAAAATAAAACTCAAGTTACCAAAGCATTCCCTTCCCATTTTGGCAATGAGAAAGCTTCTTGACAAAAACAATTTAAAAACTCAGATAAAATTATTGTAAACTTAGGAAAAATAGTCTTTTAGTTATCTTCTTCTTCTTCTGGTTCATCTTCCATTTCTTCCTCTCCCCATAACCAAATATTCTCTTTAATAGCAGTCACGAGGAAGTCACTTGTAGGATGAGAATCAAAGGAATGCACAGTAGTAGCTTTTTTATGATTAAGCTTAGACACTATGCTGCCACCAATCAGGTCCCAACAGTAAATATTGCCGTCTACAGCTCCACTTATCACATGACGATCCTTGCGGTCAACGCCACATTCCACCTGATAATCTCCTGTCTCATGTCCAGTGTATCTGAATAAAAAAAATGTAATCAAAACATTAATTTCCAACAATAAATATGTTTTATAAAATTTCATCAAGGAATGTAGAGGAAGCGAGAATCCATAACAGATTACAAGGTGATTGAATGTCAGGTTTGTGACAAAATTTAATCAATACAAGAATTAGTCATAAGGATAACTATATAAAGAAAAAAAGTATATATATATATATCAGACTATATGGTAGTTAACTAGAAAAATGTCATCCACGGCGAATGATGTACAGTTCCTACAAGGTCTACCAAATGTTAATAGCCATTATCTATGGTTCTCAACCATATCATTCAACAATGAAGTTTAAGTTGTTGAATGATGTGTCAGTAAGAAGGGCAGAAGTTTAAAGTAGGTCAGTAAGAAGGGCAAAGCTGCAGTATTCAGAAAGGGATCAGAAATTGATCTATGACTTGGTTTCTTTTATACCGTTAAAACCATAATTATCAGCAAACATAATAATTAGTTATCCCATTAATGCTATGTACGTTTGAATAAACCTAGAAAGACAATTTGCTTAAAACTTAAATTTTCCACGACAGCACATTAGCAAGAGGTTTTAAAAAACATTTCGAGAAATAATAATTTTTAATATTCTACTATTATAATATTATTGAATTTATATATATAAACCTGTACCACTACAGCCCATTCAGTACTATTTAAGGAAAGTACTGTTTCCCTAAGGTTGGACAGGGAGGGGATCGGGCTAGGATTATTTAATTAAGGATATCCACTTTATAGAAGCTGGGTCTGCCCCCAGGAGGATCTCCCTACACGATGGTCGCCTCACTGCCAATGAAACAGAATAAATAATTTTTCTGCCATGAGCCAGAATTCGAATCTGGGACCTTGAGCACTGTATTTGTACTTGAGCACTGTATGTGAATTTCTCTGGCATTCCTCTCAATGATGAATAATCTTGAAGAAATTCGGATATATTTAAGGAATCAACAGTAAAATATAAAGATGCTGTTTAGACATTTCACAAACTATGAGGCAAACAAATATATAAATATAAATTTTTATATATATATAAATAAATAATGGTTATCTAAGGGGGGGAGGGAGGGTAGGGGTAAGGCTGACCTGTGCATTGGTCCTCACCCAGCCTCAGAAGGGTAGCTGAGAGAGAGAACTGTGAGGCCTAGGCTGAGAACTTGAAGATACTACAAGCACACAGACCGTACGTGCGCGGCGAAGAACCGCACCCTGCTCGAAGTAGTCCTGATCTTGACTAAACAAAGCGGATCTAGACCAGAAGGTCGATAAACATTCCAAGTGGAGGTCAGCAGCAACCACCAGTACTGACTTGGAACCGAAAGCGGTATTAGCTGGCTGGGTGCATGTTCAGATATCATCAGGCAAATCCGAAGAACTGCGAGGGAACAAAACCTTCAAAAGGCCGCTGAAGCCGGAGATAACTGACTGAAATGTGCAGAATAGTTTCCAAACATTGTTCATGATGGTCCGGAAAACAAGTTACCTCGAAATACTCCCCAAACACGGTTATGACAGCCTGAATGGGAAGAACGACGACGAATGGTTATTTTACTACGCTAGTATTTACGTTCCTTTTTTTTTTTTTTTTTTAAGTTTTCCATCTGCTGTCCGAATTAAGAGAAATGAAATAAATAGTTTGGTTTAGCAATAAAGCCGCTGTTAACTAAGTTAGATAATTGTGTTTCCCATAGTTTATAAAATGTCTAAACGCACATTAAAATGTTTCATTTACAATTTCTAGGAATAAATAAACGAATAAATGTTAGTTAAATAAGAAATTTTAGAAAACCGCTATCTACAATTAGAGAACAGAAAATTCAGGAACGAAATAAAGCTTTTAAAAAACTAACATTACTGCTATGCCTCATTATAGCAAAAGAAAAATAATAATTGAAGTTAAAACATGATAGCAAAAAAAAAACATTTCACTCCAAGTATGTATACTAAGATACTTCCAAATATAAAATCGATTTTTTATAATCAGTCCTCTATGGAGATGTTACCGAAAACATAACCACTACGATTACCTTCAGTTTGTTGACTACGCCGCCAAATGTAAACTTTTAGTCATGTCAATTTATTTTAACATTAATTCTCTAATTAAATGATTTTTTATTTTAAATCACTTTTACGTTGAAATGGAACATCTCCTACCAGAACAGCAAAAAGAAACATTATTTCAGGCAGCATATATAAAAGCCTTAATAGACAACAAAAAGAACTTGACCCAGTGGAAGGAATATAAGGAAAAATACGAAGAAGTGATAGAAAATCTTAAATTCTACAATGAAAAGCATCAGCATTCCATACTTCTGCCAGTAGGCAGCAAGGCTTACGTAAAAGGTAAGTTAGTACACACTAATGATGTTTGGGTCACATTAGGATGTGGTTGGTTCCTTAAGACAAGTACCAAAAAGGCTGTAGAGATCTGTGAAAGAAGGATAAATTCAGCCAATGAACTAATTGAAAAATGGGAAAAAGAAAGTGCTCTGTTGGAAAATATGAGAAATTTTTCTAAAAAAAGGGATGCTTTTGAGAGTGAAGATACTAAAGAAGTAATAGAACCATATGATGAAGAAAAAGAAAAAGATTGGAAGCTGAAACATAGGGAAAAAGAGAAACATTATCGACAACAGTTGAAAGAACTTAAAGAAAAAACTGGTTCTGCTAACATTAATACTGAAAAGGATATCTGGGAACATCTAGAAGCTTTAGAGCTACAAGAAGAGCTTGAAGATGAATTGAACAGATTGGGTTGTGACTCTGAATCAAGTAGTGAAGACGACGATAGTAGTGAAAGTAGTGTTTCAAATGACAATACAGAGGAAATTCAAGAACCGATAGAAAATCCTATTCAGATAAACGAAATTTCGGATAGTAAACCTACATCAATAATAGTTAGTGATACTAACATCAAATCTAAAAAGAAAAGTGTTACCTTTAACTTAGCCCCAGACGATACATCAAGTAAAAATACTCCAAAAGAATCTATCATTAATGAAAACAATGCTTTACAAGAAGCAGTATCAGACACAGTTTATGAAAATGTTTCTAAACCATCTTTGTCATTAAATAATAATGAACCTAAGCGACCAATCAGTAAATTTAAAATGAATCGTAAATAGTACTCTTCTTTTACTATATTGCTTTTAAAATAAAATACTTTTATTGTTATTGTTTCAATGAATTTTTATCTTCCTGCAATTCCTTAATTACATTTTAAAAATTCCTTATTTTAAATGGTTTACTACAGTAACTATAAATCTAATTTAGTAATGAATTTCTAATTGTTCAGATGGCTACTAATTGTAATTATTATTACAGAAAAATATTATTAGGTATAATGCCAATATGCTCAACTAGCTAAGAAAAAGATGTTTATCCTAGTAACAAACCTTTTCCAGGCAAAAATATTGGTCAAGATTTGTTCTCTCTTTCCACTACAAAGTAAAAGTGTTACCTGGTGAACATGGCTAACATTCACTAATCATAATATTCATAAATTGCACAATTGCCTTATAAAACTATATAAAAATATATCAGTTTGATTTAGTTCAGTACAATTAAATTTAACACTAAAACCCTATTTCTATCTTGCATTTGCATAGTGATAGTCTAGGATATTAATATGGTTGTACAGGAATTGTAATTTATATAATAAAAAAAAGTTCTTGATTGTCACTTGATGAAAAGTTCATATATCAAATCTCAATAATTGACTATTGGTAAACATTAGTAGCAACCTTCCACCTCTGGTATGTTTCAATCAGTTAAAATCTTAATTCAGTTGGCTAGACGTATTAGAAGTGACCAGACAGTCCTTGATCATGCCCTTAAAGGGATTTAATTAAATATAGCTTTAGGTAACCTCATATATTTCTTAAATAATTTTGCAAACAGATATAGATTTATTATAAATTTTTAGAAGTTATTTATTGCTAAATTGGCAAAATAGTTTTTAATAAAAGTGACAAATCAGATAACTTACTCATTAAGGAGTTCACCGGTACTCTTGTCAAAAAGCCAAATCTTGTTCGCTGAACCAACTACATAGCACTGGCCATCTTGGGTAATGTTGACAGATATTACTGGTTCTGTAAATTAAAAAACAAAACATTAAATTAGTTTCTGTAGTTGTAAGTTGCTATTCCTTATACACCATAAATACATGAATTTCCATTAATACTGGCTAATGTAGCAATTTTTTATTATTTATTTGCTTCAGTTTCAAAAAGTTTATTTGATAAATGTAATTAATTAAAATAGTTGTAAAGAAAAACTATAATTTTTTGACACATGTTCCACTTAATAAAAAAAATGTTTTGGATTTATGTGTTAAGCTAAGCAAAGCAGGAAAAACATTTCACAGAATTGTGAAGTGACATAGATTCGATTAAATGAATAATGGGTAAAATGAGATATTTTAAGTTTTATACATTCATTTAATTTTATTTAGAACTACTGAGAGAAAATTAACTTTGTTTATAAATATATTTATAAAATTAAGTTCTAATTTGTTATTCATGAAATGTATTTCAGTGAAAGGTATTTTATTTCTAATTATCTTCAACATACTTCTCGCTATGTGTATATGTATACTTTATTTTATTTTCTCTTCTCCTAATCTTTACGCATAATCACTTAAATATCTTAGGGAACATATGTATATCATTATTTGTTTTTTTATATATTTTTTTTTGTTTTAGTTTTTACAATTTCTTTCCCTACATATTAACAATTATTATTATTTTTTTAATTTTTATATTCCATCACTACAATGCTTTACCTTTTTTTTTTTTTTTTTTTGTTCTTCCCTACCTCGCCTTTTAGGCTATACGGGATTTTTCCGGGCCGGGGGGTGAGGGCGGGGAATTTAAAATCCCCTCCGGCACCGGGACGCGAACTCGTACTTTTTATATCATCTCAAATCTCTGTTATCCGGTTGCCAGGCAACTAGCGGTGCTGTTACACACGCTTTAGCCTATTCGGCCACCCCGCCCCCTACAATGCTTTACCTATAAAATATATTTTCCTTTCCTTTCTAATTTCATTCAGTGATTATTAAGCAATTATTTTAGCTCCAATATTGTAGTACTGAACCCCTATTACCCAACTCTCCTCGTTAATTTATTCGAAGAGCTGAATTAATACTTAATGTATTACATGTATTTTGTTATTATTCATTGTAATAAGCCTTTTGACCAGATTTATAATTAATATATATGAACAATACTGTTATTCTAAAGGGATCTAGTCCCAGAATAAAGATGATTTTTCTATTTCTATATACTTATAAATGGATGAATATTGAGTAGAATTAAAATATCAATGGTAAACAATGGAAACCTTGTAATAATATAGAACTCCAATCACACAATTCTGTATAAAGGTAAATAAGATAGTATCTAGAAGTCTCTAACTATAAATATAAATAACCTAGTGTTGTAAAATGTAGTAAAAACTATAGAAGCTAAATCTGTAAAAATGTATACATTTTTAAATACTTACTTTTTTCTCTAGTAAAATTTATCAAAATGGAATTAAACGATTTTCATAGTCCATACTTATTTTATATTAGAATTGTTCGTAAATACAAACTAATTCATTCATTTATAGAAAGTTTTTTTTTTTTTTTTACTTTTTATTAACTCCAAACAAGCTACCAATGTAATTGTGAGATTATTGATAAATAAAAAGTTATATTTAATTTTGACTATACCTCCAATGTAATCAGTTGTTAAACAACCAGATCTGATGTCATATCTCCTTACTTTGCAGTCTAAAGACCCAGTTATAATTTCACTTTCAGTTATTTGAATGGATGTTATACTATCTTTGGCATCTTTCAGTACCTACAAACCAAAAAATCATTAAGTTGAAAAATGTAAGAAAGGATAGAAGGGAGGTGTATATTCTTTATATTTTTAGTAGATGATAAACTATAAAAGTCCATGAAGCAGAATAGCATGTTAGAAATATAAAAAATTTGGTGCACACAACTTTCACTTACCACTCTCCTTTGAAAAGCAATTCTAGCCTAGCAAAATTGAGTTATTACAAGAAGTTCTTAAAGCACGTTTTTAATGGAGCTAAACCTTGAACAATATATTTTTGCATTTCAGTCATATCCATCAATACAAAAACTCATTAAGACCATCAAAATAACATAAACCCTATTGATTATTATATCTATTTTAGGTAATAAAAACCTTACAACTGCATCGGTCTATTTGAATCAATCTCTGAGCTCTATAGACGAAGAGAGATTTGAAAATACATGTATTTAATTATGAATAAGTCCTTACTTATTAAGATTTAACCCTTACTTGATAAGACTTTTCATACTGCCCACTAAAAATCATAGGAATTAAATTTGTATCATTCTTTAAATTCTTATTTTTTACTCTTGAAAATTTACCAAAAAACATTACTTGTTTCTTAATAAAGCATGATAATTCAAAAGTCGTAACACTAATTGTAAGTGTGTGATGTGATTTCACAAAAGGAATTTTTTTTTGGAATAAATCGACGATGTATATCTACTTTTTTAAATATAATATCGGATCTAGAGATATTAAACTACAGTAAATTAAGGTTATAAACATATGTTTTATTCATTCATGAAATATCTTTATGTTTTACTTCTTCTTTCACATAAGTATAATGGGATAGTATTTTTAACAATGCCATTGGCTTGATTCAGTAGATTTTATACCCTTTTTCAAAACTTAAAAATAATTTTAAATGTTTACATTTCGTTAAGAAATTTCATTTCATTTTCTTGGAAACATGTGGCTTCCGTTAATAATATTAGTTTTCAGAAATTATTATTTATAATTTGTTGTCACTCTCCATTACCTTCTACGACTTTGTATGTTAAATATTGTTTTTCCTAAAATGCTCAGCTTTCCAACGACATATTATACGAGTCCATTCAGTCTGTTATTTCAGGAAATTCATTTTCAACCTAAAAACACAGCTTTCCTTTTTTCTCTTTTAGCCAATTAACAAATTAATTCATACTTTATATTCAGCCACATTTTATTTTTAACGATGATAAGATACAGTTAATTTTTTTAAATGAAACAAATTTAAGGTACTTTAGAGAAAGACATTGAAGATTAAGCATTTAAGCCCAGTAATGTGACCATCAATGAGGATAAGACCTAGCTGATCTTAAAGACCACTTAATACACCAATATACCGAGTTCAATCAAAATCATTAGAGCCATTTTTGAGAAAATCGTATAAATATGTAGCATCGTTGATATAAAGTGCCACTTCGGGTTAGCCGATTTCCAGCAAAAAGTTACTGTAAGATCACCAACATATACCTATCTTAAATATGTAATATATCATTTTCTTACAACTTTTTCTTTTTGAGCTAGACTGTTAACATACCACACACACAGACCATTTTGTTGAACTTCAAAACGTTTATTTCCATTAAAATCTTAGATTCAAAAATTATCAGGATCGCAATACTTTCCCTCACTATATATTACATACATAGGTAAGTGAAAGTAATATCTACAATAAGTACTAATGATATATCAATAAAACTCAAACTTAAAACAGAATAACTGTAACTGAAAAGAATAATAAAGCATAGTAGCCAAATTTTTGTAGTGAAAACAGATTTCAGTGAAAGATTATTCAAAATCCCAAGGAAAGAGAAGTGGAAAATAAGACCATAAGAGATTAAATGACAATCATGAACATAAAAATATCCTATGAATCGAAAAAAAAAGAAAAAGAAATTAAGATGTTTTAACTAATTTGAAAGTATAATGTTAGATAATTCAATAATTAATTAGCAAAATTTGGAAAATAATAGATATAGATTCCCATAAACAAAAGACTGAAGAGAGCAAACAGAATTAACAATAAAAAACTTTTACCACTAAAAAAAAAATCAATTCTGTGTTTACATCCAAAAAGTTCATGTAATTGTGAATTTTCTACAAAATGCTAATTTATCAACAAATTAAAAAAAGAAAAAAAATTAAACAATAAGAATGAAAAATTTTCAGGATGTACATTCAAATATTTCTATATTGACTGCACATCCTGGCAATTTTTTATCCTTATGATTTCAACAGTTATAAGAAGCAATACACCCAAAACTGTACACAACCATCCATCTCTAAAGTATTAAAACAATACATACACCATTTATTTGGAAGAAGAATGGCACTATATAAAAATTATCATTTTTCTTTTGGGCTTGGAAAACTTTTGTTGAGCTATATTTCTTTTTTTAAAAAATTCATATTTTTAACTCTAAAACTTAATGCGATCATTTATTTTAGTTTTACGAAAAAAAAATTACAGTTTGATTAACAATTCAAATTTAAATGATCAAAAAATTAAGATTAACTTTAATTTTTAAGTTAAGCATTATTGTTTAAGAAAATGTCCAAATTCATATTTCTAAAGTGAGTAAGGGAACAGTAATAAGATTTATAAACATTTCTGTAAGATTCCACTTTTTCATGTAGTGGCACTTTTCTTTCAAACCATATACCTATTCATTATTCAAAAACATAAATTTTGAACCAATATTTTACTGTACAAATAAACGAGTTTAATACCTGTATTGGCTGAAAATTAAAAGATTTCAGGTCCCATATCATTACTGTATTGTCACGAGACCCAGAAAAGGCTAAGGTAGATTCTTCATTGTATTTAACACAAGTTACATTGCTCACATGGACTCTTAATCTCCGTAATGGCTTTCCAGTTTCTACCTCCCAATGAATGACACTCTTATCAGCTCCTCCTGATAATATATAACTAAAATGATAAACACAGATAATTTAAGTATAATAAATACATTAAGTTTCCATCCAAAATATTTTTTTGTGATTTACCTGCTGTCAGCAGAGCCACAAGCATCCAAAACTTCATTTCCGTGGCCTGAATAAGTTTTAAGAAATAAATTCTTATGCGGATTCCATAATTTTACTGTTCTGTCTGATCCTGAAGAAATGCAATACACTCCATCCACTGAAATGAAAAACAGCAGACTTTAAGCAAATACACCACAGAATATAATACGAAACAAAATAATAATAAAAGCGTACCGTTAAATCGAACCTTTCTTACAGCTCCTTGTTTGCAATCAATAGTTCTTAAGTGTTTGAAATCCATCTAAGATGTTAAGTTTTTCAATTGAATTATTATTCAAAAGGAAATTTGAAATACATAATAAAAATTCAAAGTAAGTTTTCAATTAGAATTATATAAAACATAGGGAACACTTTAACACTCAACTAATAATGATTGGTCTTTCATTATTAAGTCAATATAAATAAAAATCCATTATTAGTAAACTGAAAAGTGTTTATAACCTGCTGGACTAAAACCTTTCTTTAACCTCTCTGAAAGCACATTATAGTGTTAATATGAAAGGGCATTAACAGTTCTAAATATTTGTATTTTATTTATATATATATTTTTCTGTTGCTCTCAATGTTATAAGTTAAAAAGTCACTCTGCAATTCTTGAATTAGTTATTATATAGACCAAGATGTTCTCTAATCTCTACAGGCAATGTCTGGTTGAAAAACATTTTGTTTATAATTTATGTTAGTTTGTCTTTCAATTGTTTTATATTTACATCATTTAAAATAGTAGTTCTATGATATCCTTTTTTTTTGGACAGTTCCTCTCTGTAAATGGAGCCAATGTTTTGCTAGTAGTCAACCCGAATTAGCTACAGAAAGTACTATTCAGGCATTTGAAGAACCTGAAAAACGTTCTATAAAATTGGAACAGAGATTCATCTATCCTGAGTTTCTTCCAGATCCTAAAATAGAATGGAGGAATTCCATACGCGAAAGATTAGAGCGTCAAGACATGTTAAAAAGGCGATCACAGATTGAAATTCCTGAGTTTTATGTTGGTATGTTTTAATTCTTCTGTTTGAATTATTTGTGATTGGTATTTTAATATTCTTATTTTTGGAAATGGTTTAGTTGCTGACTCTATTTCTTGTCAACAAAGTATTTATTTTAAAATATGTTATTGAAATCTTTTTAATGGAGTCACATTTTAGTTGATTTTATGATCAGTAGGGTACTATTTTTAGGAGATTTATGCTTTTATTTTAAGAACATAATTAGATTTTTAAAGCAGCTAGGTTTATTTTTTATCTTTTTTTAAAACATATTAGTTAACATTTAAATTTAAATATTTTGTATTAAAGGGCAAGTTCCTTAATTCAGCATCGATTCCATCTAAGGAGTCCACAACCAATTGAATCCAGCACTGATGGAGAGCCATTTATGCTGAGTTTAGGAATGGAAATTGTGGAATGACAACATTGGTGTTATAATAAGGTTACATCCAGCAGGTCCATCGACCCCAACAGCCAATAGAACCGTTGAGCTACTGTTTATTCAATCAATGAAATTAGGATATCCATTAATGAATTCAGCACTGAGTTTAGGAACTTGCCCTAAATAATTTATTTTTGTTATTAGATTTAACTCAGTATCTGTGAACAGATATTCTTAGCAAAGTTGAGGGTTTCAGATTGGTTTTAAATGAAACATTTTGTTTATTTTGTGTGGCCTCTGCATACTCAACAATCATTTATTATTTTTATTTGAATGATTATCATAAATATTAATTTGTGTTCTTTCCTTTTATTGAGTTAGTTAATTATTGTTTAAGGGACAATCATGGCCGTAACTTCATTTACTCCTCATTCTACATCCAAAAAGAACAGATTTCTTGGAATTTGTATTCAAAGGAAAGGTTGTGGCCTAAGAGCAACTTTTGTTCTCAGAAACATCATTGATAATTTAGGTAAATAACCCATCATTTTCTTATTTATTCTTTCTAACATATGTTATTAATTAAGGCTCACAATATATTTTACCATAATAGCTTATTTGTTTTGATTTGTATTTTTGTTTTTTCTTTTACAAATAATCTAAAATTATTTATCATATCATCATACATGTTTTGTTTTTTCCTTTAGAATAAACATATTTTTTAATTTCCATTACCCTCCATTAAACTTGCCTCTTGATATTTGTGTACTATGTACATGAAAGGTTTTATGGTGATACTTGTTTAAAATATTTATTTATTTTTAAAATCTCCATTTCATTTTCTAGGTACTGAAGTTGCTTACCATCTGTATGATCCTACAATTGAAAAAATAGAAGTTATAAGATTAGAAAAACGGTTGGATGATGAACTTTTTTATTTGAGGGATGCACTTCCGGAATACAGTACTTTCCCACTTGATATGGAACCAGTGATTCTTCCAGATAATACCCCAATTCCTGTTAATACAACACAGGTACTTAAATAGCACCCATTTTCTTTGATATGTATCATTATTGAACAATGTCTGTATTTAATTTTGTTACAAGTCCATATGAAAAAAAATTCACAACCATTTTTTTTTCTTTTCAAAATTTATAGAATGTTTGAAATTCCCATATGATCTAAAAGTTATATAACTCAAGTGGAGTCCTTACTAAACCAACCTCTGATATTCCGAGTTTCCAATCAACCAAGTTATAAAAATGTTTTAATAATCTTTTCAAATGTTATAAAATATATGTAATTAGTTATTATGTGTTTCTGAAATAAAAAGCAGAGTTTGGTTTTAAAAAAATGGAAGATAAAGATGGAGCAAGCATTCAAACTCAGTGCTAATTCCATCAAAGGAATTATCAATCAATTTGATAATCATGAAATGCTCGTAAAGGTCTCGAAGTACCCAATTTACTATTTATTTATTTTATTTTATGTTTCTCTGTTTATTTTATATGTATTTAGATATATGCCTTAGATGTCGCTACAATCTTGTACTTGTCAAGTGGCTAACTGGAAGTGCCACTTTATGTCAACGCTGAAACAAATTTTTACAATTTTCTCAAAAAACAGCTCTAACGATTTTGATTAAACTCGGTGTATCATTGTATAATGAAATGGTATTTAATATCTATCAGGTCTTATCCCCATTGATGTCACTTTACAGGGCTTAAATGCCCAATATTCATATAGGTCTTCCTCTGATGTACCTTTAATATGGTTTATTTTAAAAAATTAATCATCTTGAGTTATTCAGAGTTACAAAGAAAATGCTAAATATAACTTTTGAAAGAATTTGATTATTGAATAAAAGAGGAGAAAAAAATAAAAATGCTTATCCAGGTCGAAAATGAATCTCCGGAAATACTAGTCAGAAGGTATACGTATAATATATCATTGGAAAGCAGGGGGAATTTTAGAAAAAACAATATCTAATATAATGATGTAGAGATGGTTGACCGAAATATGATATGAGAAGGAGTTGATCGGGGGGGGGGGGGGGGGGGGGGAGAGGGGGGGTGCGGTCAAATAAATACTAAATTATACAAATAGTATTATTTAATTTTTGCCGACGTTTCGACCCACTTTGCAGGTCTTCATCAGGGCGTAGGATGTTGTTCTGCGGGAGGCAGTTGAAAAACTGCAGTTTTTCATCCATAATCGACCAGTGATATAATAATAGGACTTTAGTTATTTTAATGGTATTTATGATTTATTAGCTGTAATTTTTTAGATTTAGCTCAGTTAAAAATGCAATTCAAAAGGTTTATAATAGCCCAACATGGCCAGAAAATAATTTCTATTCAAAGTTGAGCAGTAAGTGAAAGTTGTATGTTGCGCGCACCAATTTTTTTTTTTTTTTAATTTTGAACTTAAATTTTGATTTAATCGATATTACAATATTTTAATGAAATAGTATAAAATTTATGAAAAATTATTTTCTTCCTAATATTGCTGCATTTGTTAAAATATTTGTTATTTATAAAGGTAATTTTAAAACCTCGACCATGGGTCGGAAGATGGGAAAGGACAGATTTTAAAGGTATTAATAGGGAACACATGATGACACTCATATCAGACAAAATGAAAATGCAAATTGCTAAACATCAAAAGCCATGGGAGAAATATGATTTAATGAAACAATACAGGTATATATTACTCATAGAAATATTTCTTTTTGTTATTCATAGTAGCTTTATTTATTTATCCTTATTTTTTGTAGGGCTACGATACCTGAGGAAGAACAAAAAGAAATCTTTGCTGAGGTCTATTCACAATTGCATCAACTAGAATTAGGCAAGAAAAAATCAAAAAGAATACGGACATTCGTCAAGCCAAAGAAATCAGCATAAAACTCTCAAAGTAGTGTGTGTTCCTTAAAAAAACAGTGTCAATCTAATTTGTATTTGTGTATTTTGTATATAGTAATTGTCTTTATTTGATGTATTTAAATAAATATTGTTATACTTATTAATTTCTTTGTATAAGATTTTTATTTTGTGTTTAAAAATCTCTGTGATCAACATTTCGATGAAATCCACAAGGTATGGATGGTTAGAAATCGGTTGTCATTGTAGTATTTTTATGAAGTATTTGCAGGGTATTCACTGAACCTGGAATACTTGAAAAACCCAGGAAATTTTATGAAACAAACACCAATATACAGTAAATTTTATAAGTTAGAGAATGAAAGGGCCAGAGTTGGGAAGTAATTAATTACTTCTTCAATTACTGTGCTTCTAATCACTTCTTTCAATGGCTGTAATTGTAATTGAGACTTTCAATGTGATATTTAGGTGTGATATAATTTCATTTAAAGTTTCTTAATTCTTGAAATATAATCACAATTGCATAAAATTGTAGTAGGTAATTACAATTACTTTGTCTCAACTTGTAATTGTAATTCTTATTACAATTATTTTGACAGTAAGTTTTCTTTATCTATAAAATTTCATTGTTATTATGGGTTAGTTGAGCCTCCGTGTCCAATCTGTTCTAGCCAAAATTCATTTAAATATTAATTGAAGATTGAGAAAAAAACAGGAAAATTTAGATCTTCTTTTATTGTCACAACATGTGCATGAAGCTACCCTTGGCCTGCTCAACAGTGCCAACCATCTCTCTTTATCTTCAGTAAGGGTAACAGGAATCCTCAGTTGTCCCCCCCCCCCCCATCGGCCCTTCGTCCTACCACGTCGGCGCACACCATCCGGAACGTTAATATAGAGTTTATAAGTCACTCTTTCCTCGCTCATCCTCATCATATGGCCAAGCCACTTAAGCTTTTGTATCTTGATATACGAGGAGATACTACATTCCTTGTGGAGCCTAAACAGCTCACTATTTTTCCTTCTTTGTCAATTATCATTCTCTCATAGGGGCCCTAAGTTTATCAGAATTACCTTTTCAAACCTGTCTAGCAGGATAATATTAGCCGAGTCCACGTTTCTTCACCGTGTGTGAAGATTGGCATTATCAAAGTTTTATAAACTTTATCAGAGCATAAACTTGGTGGTACGGCTAACAAGTTTGTTTTTTATTAGCCTTAAAATGGAGAGATACTCTAATCAAATTTCTTGATGTTATTCTGCTCTTAACCTCTTCTTCTTCATTTTCTCTATGAGGAAGGAAGAAGAAGAGGTAAAGCTTCTGACCACTTCGAAATTGTAGTAGGGGCCCATTACAAATTGACTCCGCCTCTGATCCAGAGACTACCCAATACCATAATATTCGTTTTCTCACTGTTAATATACCGGCTGATTTTTCATATGTTCTGAAGGAATCTACCTATGATAACAACGTCGTCTGCATAGGCCAGAACTTCGGTAATTTTTGTAAAGATTGTTCCTTTCTGATTTAGTCCCGTTCTATTTATGATTGCTTATTGAGCGATATTAAACAGGAGATGATCTGTTGGATCCCCTGGTCAAGGCCACTTTCCACTGCAATACAGTGGCTGCTGATAACCCACAGAATTTTACTCGGTATATTGTACTCATCATTGTGCATTTTACGAATCGAGTAAGTTTACTAGGCAATCCCGGTTCATGCATGGCCAATGCGAGTTCACTCCTTACAACCTTGCAATTGTATCATAGGCAGCCCGTAAATCAATGAACAGCATCCAAGTTGTCTGCTTATATTCCTTCATCTTCTCTTAGAGATTTGCCTCAGATTTGATCAATAGAAGTCCTATTGGGCCGGATTACATCCAGTTTCTATTTAACATACGGAGCCTGTTGTTCAAAGATATGGAAAAAAAATTTATATGCAGTGTTAAGCAAACTAATTTCTTGATAGTTACTGAATATGGTTGAATCTTCCTTCTTCTTGTATACAGGCACTACTACTGCCTCATTCCATTCCTAAGATATGGTCTCCTGTTGCCATATCTGAGCTATCAGGCTCTGTAGTTCCCTGGCGATTTCTTGATGCCCTGCTTTAAAGAATTCTGCTGGTAGTTCATCATTACTGGATGATTTATTATTTTTTAGTTTAAGTTTAAAATTTTACGATAAGTCAGATAATTTCATAAAAAGTTTCTGATAGACATAATGTATATGATGGTTAACCTTGTAAACAGTTTATATATATCTCAGTTATATACAGCCAATCTTTGTTTTTGCTCAAAAGTGATCCAAGAAATAAAGCTACAAAACCTAGAGGTTGCTGGTAAAAGTTTAAAAATGTTTCTATAACATGATCAAATTGATTTTTAACATTCATTAATTTATATAATATCATGATATTGCATGAAAATGAATAAAAAGTTGACTACTAAAAATAAAAATAGTATTTTTATAGAAAATGTCGTCATTATTCAATGACGTTTTATATTTTTCATTAATATAAAATACAATGCCCATATCTCTCAGCTCTACAACCAAATTGGAGGAGCTTGGTTACAATAGTTGGTATTAAAGTCTGTTTCTAGGCAATGATTGATGCTAGTTGAATCACACTCAACTGCTAGTTAAATTATTACTCTAATTCATAATATTAGATATCCATTTTTTATAAGTTGGGTGTATGTCTGGAGGGTTCCAGAGTTGATCCACTGCTGACATAACCAAATTATCAAATTCCTATGCCAGGAACATGAATCTGGGCTTAGGGGATTGGTGGAATGTATGCTGCGCTACCTAGGCTCATTGTAATTTTCTATTAATTTCAATCCTATTATATAAATCATTGTTTTACTTTTTCAAACATTCTATATTAATGAATAAGAAAAGTAATAAAAAGTGGATTAGTCTTTTTCATTCTAAATTGTGAACTATTAAGTTTAGAGCTTTGCAACCTTAATAATCCTTTTCAGTCATAATTTGAGGTTCCATTGTTCTCTCTGTAAATGTAATTGCGTACTTAACTGACTATCAGAATAATAAATATCCAATAATCTATTTTGAGAATAAGAATAATATCAGGCTGTTGGATTGGGCCACCCTCCCTCTTATTAAAAAATAAGATCAGATCTTAGAGATGGTAAACAAAATATTTTCCGAATTTGCACATAGCCTTTAGGTACAAAGTTTTTTGTTATGTTCAGTGTTTCTTTTATAAGCATAATATTTCGATTTTATTGGAAACATTAATACAAATTTTAGTTGATAGGTTGTTAGGTTGGTATTGCTACACAAAACATAACCTATTACTTGTCAACCTCCATTGTTTTTGACAATTCTTGATATGGTATTTGTTGATGTCTTTTTTTTTTTTTATTAAGTGATTTATTTTAAAATGGATAAATTAACATTAGTATCTGGAACGTTATTTCTTGCCGCCGATATATTTGCTATTGTTAGCCTTGCAATGCCTGATTGGATTATCACGGATGTTGGAGGTAATATCTAGATTTGGTTTAAATAGCTTATTCAATTTCTCCTTATTTCATAGTACAACTTATTGTTATAAAGGTTTAGCAACTGAGATCATGTGAGTCATATTAATTATTTAGTGTGATACTGCAATAAAATACCAACATTTCCATTGTTTTTTATTCTTTTCCATTGTCCATCAATATTATTTTGTTCATGTTGTTAATGTTTACTTATTTTTTTATGTAGGTGATACAAGACTTGGATTAATGTGGACTTGTATGACAGTATATAACAGGCCACAAGTTTGTTTTACACCAAGCCTTCAGCCTGAATGGTTATTGGCACTTGTTTGCATCTTTATTGGTTGCATTTGTATCACAACAACAATAATACTTTTAATATCTTCACATTGGGATAGGAATGTTGTCCCTTATGCAAGATGGGTAGGATTCACTGCAAGTAAGTATTTACTGATTTACTTAATATTTTCTTTCATAAAGTATATTTATAATATTAGGGGGACCGGAAAGTAATGTCGTTTCTGAGCATGTCACTATATGATTGCTATTTGGCAGCTCATTGTGTACATCTATGTCATGGCAAAGAAGTTCTAAGGTTAAAGTGACTTCGTTAGTTGTAAATAGTTAAATTTAATTTTTTTTTTTATGTTAATTTTTGGTGTAATGGTCATCCAAATAAAAGAAGAGGATATCCGGTATTGCATGCTTTTCACAGGGGTAGTAATGTAGTTGTTGCCAAAAACATTTGCGATGTTTATCCAAATGCATTAGATGTTCATAAATGTCAAAGGTGGTTTTTCAAGTTTTAAATGCGGTAATTTTGATCTTTCCCACTCGTACCGATGAGGAAGATCAACAACATTACACAATGACCTGTTAAGGGCAGAAATCGAACCAAATCCGTGTCAGACAATCGAGGAATTTTAAACAGTATTAACCAACCTTAGTCAACCATCCTAGATCATTTGCAGCAGATTGGGAACCACCATTGGCAACTTATTGCTTCAACGGCACAATACAGATATGTTTTTTAATGTCCTGATCACCAGAAATGATAAATGGGTCCTGTATGATAATCCAAAAGGCAGTGGCTCTCTCCAAAAGAAGACTCTCGCCCTCTAAGTACTACTGCTAAGCCAGGTTTACACCCTTAAAATGCCCTTTTGTGTGTTTTGGGGGCATATTCCCAGCGCTGCTCATTTTGAAATGCTGAAACCCGGACAAACTGTGAATGCAGACCTTTGTTGTGAACAATTGGATCATGTAATTAAATATTTTATTGAAAATTGGCCAGCTATTGTCAACAGAAAAGGCATTATTCTGCTACACGAAAATGCAAGACGAACCATAGAAAAAATTAATGAATTGGGGTGGGAGGTATAGGAGGTACTGTCCACTATACTAGCCCAAAGTTACACCATTGGATTTCAATTTGTTCAGATCGTTTCAATACTTTCTATGTGGCAAAAGAATTGCAAATTTGAAGTACGTCCAAAATTAATTAACCATATCTTGGCAGATAGCAAACGGTTGTTGATAATGAAGGTAATTCTGTCAATGATTAAAAATAAAAACTCGTATGAAATTTATGTGTTTGAATTAAATGTAAAAAAACGATATTACTTTCCGGTCCCCCTAATATTATCCAATAATTTGATCAGAAAAGCCTTATACTGCATGATTGATAGAAGAGGACTGATGATCACTACTGTTTAAAGATGAAGAATTTATTTATTTTATTATTGGCGAATTTTAACTTAAATGAAATTTTAATTACTTTAAGTCTATTTTTCATCAACTTTTGCCATTTCTTTAGTTTTAGTTATTAAATGTTTGTTTTTTTACAGTGGTTCTTTTCTGCCTAGCCGCAGTAATTTTTCCAATGGGCTTCCATGTCGATGAAATCGGAGGACAACCTTATCAACTTCCAAATAGTCACCAAGTTGGAATTTCATACATATTATTTGTACTGTCCTTGTGGGTTACAGTCATGTCTGAATTATTTGCTGGAAAAGTTTGTTTACCGCACTTTTAAACTAAGAATATCTCTGTGCATTCCTCTCTCACTCTGAAAATAAGGTTGTGTTTTTATAAAAATTTCTTTATTTTTACAGCATTATAAGTAGTGAAAATTCTTCTCTTTCTAATTCTTTATACTAATCTCATAATCAAATATATTTTTATTTATTTTTTATTACAGTTTAAATTCCATTTATTAATTCAGTTACATTTTGAAAAAGGATATTTTTAAGTAATGGAAGTCACTTTACAATTATTGGTTATAGGAATCTCTTAATTTTTTAAAGTATTAGTTTAACATAAGAAAACTTTTTTATATTTTATTTTTGTTAACATATGTATACACTTATTGTGTATACATTATATGTTATATATGTATGAACACATGCACTCATACTTTTATGTATTTATAAAATATCTGTGATATATTTTTAAAATTAATATTCAAATGAGCATATTTATTTTAATTTGTTTTGTTAAATAAGTATATTCCATTTATGTATATTTTTATTATTTTGTAAATTTGAATTCATTGAAAAATAAATTATTTGAATTCAATTATTTTTTTTAATTTATAATAAAACCACATATTTAATCACATAGTCCTTTATTTATTTTTCTGCACCAGCGTTTCAGCCCTCAGACCATTTTCAAGGGAAGAAATCTTTATCAAATAAAATAATTAGCACAGCCCAATTTTTATTTGTTTATTAATTATTTTCAATTTATACTTTATATTACATATCTATTTTAAACAATTAAAATTATTTGGACTGAATTGCCCATGTCAACATCATCTAGAGCCAGTTGCTTCAACACAGTAAAACTTAGATTAAGCGTTATCTAAGATTAGACCATGTTTCACCCGTTGCTCAAACAAGGCTCAGCTTCGCAATCAAATTTAATCTTGATCAGTTCACCGTGGGCGCTTAAGCTTTACTTCAAGAGAAAAACTTAGTTACCTTTGGCCACTATATTAACCTTCTTTGGTGTTTTTGCTGTATCGTTTGTGTTAATCATTTTTATTTGTCGTTTCTCTTGCAAAAATGGATTTTGACGTCACAGATGACGAGGATTCCCCTAATTTAATTGCAGTTTTACTCATCGAGAAAAAAGTATATCTTTATTGGATGAATCATTTTCTCTATTGGTCTGAAGACGAATTTTTTGATAGATATTTTATTACTACAAAGAACTGTAGAAAAACCGATTAGTAACCTACTTCCTTTCTACATCTCGGTTTAGATTTAACTTTTTATCAATGACTGAAAGTCGTGATAACAGAGCTCAGGTGTTATTGGTAGATTAAGCCCAGATAACTGAATATTGGTTAAAACCGTAAATTGTGCAACTGGCCCCTAATTAGTCATACACTAAAACGTTTCCCTATAAGTTTATGTTTATTTTAAACCTCATTACATTGTCAACAATCCCAAAATTAAAATTAACATTATTAAAACTATCTTTATGTATTGTTAAACCACTTCATAAATATTGTATTAAAATAAATACAATCACAGCCCTATTATTAATTCACCTTTTTATAAAACTTACATTTTTCACTTTCACTTACCTATGTATATATGTAATTTATAGTAAGGATTAGTATTGCGATTGTGAACATTTTCGAATCTAAGTTTTCAACGGAAATGCATGTTTTCATCATGGCAGTAAGTGGAAGTTGCTTCGAATATCGCATTTGCTTTAACCTACTATAATTATAAAAGAAATAAAATTACGACAAGAGCAAATGAAAAAAGACATAATAATAAATAAAATCATGTCAAAGAAGATTGGGGATGATGAAAATCGTACCAGGTAACCATTTATATCAATTTTGTTCTACCAATGTAACATGTACTTATTAACTTAAAAGATCAGAGAAACAGTTAAATACCACTTTGTTAAAAGTTAGTAATTTAATTATACCTAATAAAACTTAATGTATAAGATTTTAAACAACTAATATTTCATTCATAAATCTCTATCGTTTTCAATAGTACTTTTATAATCAAGAGGATTGAAATATTTTTTTTACAAGGCTATCCCTCTTCCATTTTGTAATAAATAGATCATTTAATTTTAGGGGAGGGATCATGAAATAATAATTTGTAATTTTTTTTATTTCATTAAATGATACTCATTCATTCAAGTTTCATTAAATGAAACATTCAAGTTTCATTAAATGAAACTTTAAAATAATATTACTTATAAAAAATAAAATAATAATAAAAAAATTGTTCATGACCTTTCTTTTCTTATGAAAAATTTACTCTTTGTTTAATATTAAAATTATATTTTGTGCAATGGTCATAGTTTCTTAGTTTTCAGAGTTGTTGTAGGTTTAATAACTGTAAAATGAAAATTGCAAACATTTTAGCAATTTCTTGATTTTTAAGATGAGGTAGGGTAGAGTGGTTTTAGTATTTTTTATCCATTGCATTGTGTTAGTAAAACAATTTCTACAGTAAAATTACTCTGCTACTTAAATCACTTTATTTGCCAATAAACTGTAAGGAGAAGGAATATAAATACAAATTTATTGTATAAATCATCAAGAAAACTGTTTTATACCTTTTAAAACTTTATTTATTTACTTCTTATTTATTACATCAGACAATATTTCGGGCTAATGTGCCCACCTTCCAAGTCTGCCATTTTTTTTTTTATAAATTATATTTTTCATATCTTTATTAAAAACAAGTATTTCAAATAGAAAACTTTTTTGCTATCCTACTGTTTCTTTCAAAAGCCTAATGGAACTTGTACTGGGCTTAATGTTATTTTATGCAAACAATAAGTTTTTAAAACGTTCTTGTATACAGTAAAATAAAAATCAACTATAGTTATAGGTTCCATTACTTTTATTTATTTTAATTTTATGACCTCCACTCTAAACCATCTCTTTCCTAGTGTTTTTTCTGTACAGTCTGTTCATTGAAAACTAATAGGATCTCATTTCATACATTATATAATTCTATGAACTGTTATTTTTTAAAACAGTTCTTAAGAATTGTTGTATCTTGTTAACGTTTCTTTTTAATAAAGTAGTCTTGGTAGTGCTGCTATCTATCTACCAGCAGATTCTAGAACTACAATTTCATATTGCCTTGTTACAGTGGCTTAATAATATTATTATATTATATTAATAATATAATATTATGAAAGCACTGTAGCCTTGGATAATAGTCGCTTCTTGCAACATCTTTAAGAACTACGTGCGAGTTTTGTTTTTCTTGGATAGTGGATGGCCTCTTTTAGCGGATTTTGGAACTATTTAGTGCCTTTTTTTAATATTTATTGGATGGTGTTACCCTTTTTTTAAATAGATTTAAATACTATTATTCCATTTCTTTCATCACATGACCTAATCCAAATTACATAAGACTTTAACACAAGCCGTGAAATCCTTTACTCCCAAAATGGTTTCATAACGCAATTTAAACCTCCTCTCCTATGAATCCCTTTAACCTGACCTCGACTCCGTCCAATGGGATATTATATATTCTTATAACTCTATTGAACCTATGGTATCAACACTTTTCTCAAACCCAAAATTCATATTAGACACCCATGCTCCTCTGAAAACTAGAAACTTACGCCGTCCCACTGCTCCTTGGCTGACTCCTGAAATAAAGGAAATGATAAAAAGAAGGAATGCAGCAAGGCGCAAATACTGCCAAACCCGTCTGTATATTGATTATGCATCTTTCAAAGAAGTTCGCAATAGTACGCAATCCGACTAGCTAAAAGCCACCCACTTCCATAATGCCCTTTCCAATGCTCCTGACTCCAAATCTAAATGGAAAATACTCCATAATCTATCCCTACTAGAATCCAATAATCTCAATTCCTTCCCTGTGACTCCAGATGATCTCAATGACCATTTTTTATCCTTCTCCAACTTACGATATTGAGGTTCACAATTTCAATCTGGAAGACTTTTTTTTCTCCCATGTGTCCTTCAATGAACTACTTTCCGCTATCCTAAAATCTTATACCAATGATTATGCCCCTGATAATATTCCAGTAAAACTAATAAAATTCAGCCTTCCTGTCCTTATTTCCTTACTTTACCATATCTACAACTTTTCATTGCAAAACTCCATATTCCCATCCTCCTGGAAAACCGCCCTAATCCAACCTTTAAATAAAACTTCAAATCCTTCTTCTACTCATGACTTCCGTCCCATTTCCCTCCTTTCCAATCTTTCAAAACCGCTGGAACGCCTCGTCCAAAACCAACTTTCCAAATTCCTAGAAGAGCATTTCCTAATCAACCCTCTCCAATCTGGCTTCTGTTCTGGTTACTTGACCTAATATGCCCTCCTAAAAATAACCCATGACCTCCAAAACTCCATTGAACACCAAAAACTTATTATCCTCATTCTCCTAGATTTCTCCAAAGCTTTTGACACTCTTGACCACAGCATTCTCCTTACTAAACTCCAACATCTTCCTTTATCCAACACTGTCCTACGGTTGTTCAAATCCTTCCTTTCAAATAGATCCCAGCATGTAGTCATCCAAGGTCAACCTTCCTCTAAGACACTTCCTCTCTCCTGCGCCGTCCCTCAGGATTCTTCCCTATCTCCTACTCTGTTTTCTGTTTATATTAATGACCTTCCTCTCCTGATCCATCACTCCCAATATCTATGCAGATGATTTCCAAATATCCTTGTCCTTCCCTCCTTCTGACCTATTAGCAGCCTCGAAAAATTCAAGAGGAGAGGAGGATGCAAACAAGTTGAAGTTGAATGCCGAGGAAACCCAGGCAATTTTGATAGGCTCCAGTAATCTTTGATCAAACTCTTTCCTGGAAAAACCATATATCCGATATTTGCCGTCATGCCTTTTCCATTTTAAAACGACTAAATTACTTCCGCCACCTATTTCCATTTGAAACCCATTAACTCCTTATTACTTCCTTAATATTTCCTCACTTGCCTTGTACGATTCATCTTTGGGATCCCAAGACACGTTTATTTTTTTTAAAAATGTATATTTGGAAGTTCT